ATTCTAAGATGAAGCAAAGGGTTTGGATTGGGTGGAAAGGCTTTTACAAAGCAGACTTTGTGAAGTCTCTCTGATTGGGCAGGTACAGCGTATGCCGGCCTGTGATTTGTGACAGCGGTGGGATTTTGGAGACTTTGGGTTGGGCGCTTGAGGTCGAATGAGTGTGAACGCTTGGGTTTGTTTCGTTCTTTTGTGAGTGCCTGTGTGAAAAGCGTCGTGATTGGAGCGATGAATAAAATCAAGTGCTGTGATTGGTTTCGAGGAAAACTAGATTCCAGCGCAGCAGAAGAGTGTCATGGCTGCCAGGTCCCTGTAGGTCTGCACTGTAAATCCACACATTAATCAGAGCCGGCAGGGAGAGATCAAAGGAGCCTGTTCCATCTTTACTCAGAGCAGCACTTTGATGTGTGTGTGTGAGAGAGAGGGGGGGCCGAGAGCGCGGGAGAAAGAGAGAGAAGGAGTGTATGTATGAGAAAGGGGGGAGAGAGTCAGACAGAGAGAGGGGTTGAAAATTAGGATATGAGAGACAGCCTGGAGAGAAAACCCTCATGTTTGGATCCTGCTGGGTCTCGATATAAAACATATTAGCAATAATCAAGACCTGCTGCAACTTTGAATATCAACACCAGCTAACACTAAAGCATGTGTACAGTTCATACACAATGTTCTCATTCCACTGCAGCCACAGAACAAACAGCACAATCAACAGTGACAGTGTAAGGTTGATGCAGCACATTTGACAGTACAGTACGGGTCTGCATGCATGTATTTATATACACATTTGTGCACACATGCATTGTTCCTGTCAAATCTGACAGCGCCGCCATATTCTCAGCCATAGAAAATACTTTTCTGCCCCACGGTGGTCCTCTCCTGTCACTGCAAAGTAACCCCCCCCCCCCCCCCAAATGTGGAGTGCCACCATTGTATGGCAGCTGAGCCTGCAGTTGCCATGGCGACGCCGAGCAGCAGCGCAGGCTTTAAAAGCATCATGTATTATTAGTTGGTGTGTTGACACTTTTGCGTTTCTTCCATTCTCTGTGAATCAGAAGCTTTTAGTGCTCAGTCCCCCTGGAGAAAGGTGACGACTGTAGTGCTGTCAGTCGAACACTAGGGGATGTGATCATAATGTACCATGACTGCCTGCACTGGATACTTTTCTTACTGTGGATCAGTAGTTGATTTAGCTTGAGAATATTTTCATTAAACAGACGCTCAGAGAGTGTAGACAGTGATGCCTTTCTTTTGTCTGCATCTTGTTTACAAATTGCTGTTGTTATTGTGCCACAGTTAGATTAACATGATTATTGTATAAAATCAAGATATCCGCTGTACAAACTAAAAATAAATATATATGAAAAAAAAACCTCAGCCTATACTAAATTGTTTTGTCTGACTGATACACATCTGACTGATTCCATTCTGCATCTGAAGTATTTTGTCAACTGATGGGCTTTCCTGCCATCTGCTGGTTGAAGTATTGCTCATCATCCTGTGGTGGTGAAAAGAAAACTCTTTGCTGCAGTCAGTTAAAACTTTGTCTCCTTGTTCTTCATCAAGCCACATGTACAGAAGAGCCTTAAACACCCCAGTGGCTGGAGGCACATATTTGAATATGGATATGTTGATGTTAAAGGTCCAGTATACAGGATTTGGGGGGTTAGGTGGGCAGAGATTGTAGCCTATATAATAGTTATAACTGTGTTTTCATTAGTTTATGATCATCTCAAAATAAGAATTGTTTTGTTTTCTGCAGAATGAGCCATTTAAATCTACATAATGGAGCCCCTCCAAGATGAGAGCGTTGGAAAAACACAGATGTTTTTATGTGATACTGCTTTATTCTCTGTTTTCACCAGTTTAAACCACTGGGTTCATTTGTTTTGGACAGAAGGAGACCTCTGCGGATAATTCAGCTCCTGGTAAAAACTGCCTCAACATCTGGATCTTAAGTTATCAGAGAAGAAAGATGAGCAAACATTAGCATGTGCTAGGCTAGCCGCGCATCTCTGACACGCCAAACACTGTCAGAGGAATATTGATTTGTAACATGAAACTGCTGTATTCGGTGTTTTTACCTGTTTAAATCAGCAGGTCAATTTGTTTGGGCGAGGAAGAGAACGTCTGGTTTAGAAATAAGGTGAGCACACATTTGATCATCAGAGACAAAAAGGTGAGCACACTTTAGCAGGTGCTGGGCGAGCAACCCATCTGAAACATGCCAAACAGTGTAGGAGAAACACTGATTCACAATGTGAAACTGCTTTACGTTATTCACGTTATTCAGATCCTCGTATCAATAATGAGAGTCAGACAAAGTGTGTGTGTTACTGCAACATCATCAAGGTCGACGTCTTATCTTCCAGGCAGGAGTCTTGCAAAATGAAACAGATGAGTGTGAAGGGCACTGGTGTTTCTGAGGTCAAATACATGTCATTGTCATGTATAATCAAATTAAACATTCTTATAGGGCACTGAATCAAACATTTCTTTATGATCAAAAATTCCTTCACACTCTCCTCTCAGGTCAAGCAGCATCTCAAACATGAAAATGTATGATCAAAATTGCATGCTGTTAGCATAGCTAACCAGCTAGCTGTTGTAAAATTTTTTCCAGTGCTACTTGTTGGTGTCAAAGGTCAGAGCTTGAGTATTGTAAAAAGTAGCCTCATGCTACACCTCTTCAGGCTGCACTAAATCTTTATGCTGTGTTATGTTGTTCTCTACTCTACATTTAGGATAATAGGCCTTTTCATAGTAAAGCACAGGTGTAAATGTTAACAGCTGAATCCCAATTAGCTGCTTCAGTTTCAGGGCCCTGATGTGCATGCTGGCTCACTCTCACACTATCACGGCTTAACGAGATGCTTGAATAAAACGGGCCATCGTTAATGTTATTAGTAACACCTGTTCTTTTCCTTCAATGACAAATCAAAACTGTGAAAAAGGCCGACTGACTTTTTTATGGAGTGAACCTTGTGTAATTACTAACAGACGAAAATACGTTTCACATGCTTTTATTTATAGTGTTAGTTTTGTATGTTTGTTTTCTTTTCTCAATCAGACTGCTTTTAGTCATGGTGTTGAGAGTGATTTTTTTGTGTGTTTTACGTCATGTTGGTTGTTTTGACCAGTTATTGTTTGCATAAATTCAAACCTTTGCCGTCATCTTCCTGTTTTGTTTTCATTTTGTTGTTATTGATCGCTCCTGTATGAATGCATTCATCTTGTGTTGCTTTTTCTCACAAAATCAATCCCATATTTTTATGTTCTTGTTTGGTGTTTTTCTGCTGTCTGGTTCACGGCGAGACTGTATTCAGCACTGATGAACACACACACACAACCACAGAGAAATTACACTGAACACACTGAAACACATTAAATACAAATGTTATCGATAATGAGAGTCAACTATACCCATTAAAACATTTGACGATTATTACGGCGTAAATCAGGTCAGGATGTCATGTAAGGCGCCAGAGAGGTATGTAGCAGAGGTGAAACCAAGTCTCAAGTATGTCTCAAGTCTTTGCAGTCAAGTCCTGAGTCCTAAACAAGTCATAATGTGCTCTTCAAAGCATCAAATATAATGCAATTTTAGGAACAGACTAATAATATATTAAATTTATCAAAATCATGAATGCTTTTTAAACATTTGTTTACATTTGTAAAATCAAGTTTGATGAAAGTTGTTGTGTCTCCGTCTATTATTTTCTACCTCAACTGTGGAATTGTCTTCGGTACAGGGGTATAAGTATAAAGAGTGCAGGCAGTGCTGTTGCATGAATGGTATCTTATGAGTGATTGCCATCTTGAAAATATGCCTGTGTTCAGGGTGTCTGTAGCATAGTGGATAGTGCCAGCGCCCCATGTACAGAGGCAATGCCTTGCTGCAGCAGTCGCAGGTTCAACTCTAACTTGCAACCCTTTGCTGCATGTCAGCCCCCACTCTCTCTCTCACCCCATTTCACTCTGTCTTGTTCATTAAAGGCAAAAAGCCCCAAAAAAAATCTTTAAAAAAGAAAAGAAAATATGCCTATGTTCAAAGAAGAATTCTCATTCAATTAAAAACAGTGCAATAAGCTATATATGCCCTTGAAAATGGCAAACCGATCTGTGTCATGTTCAGTTTTTCTTATTTTTGTAAAATAGTCAATACCATCTATAACAAAATTATATGCTTATTCTATAACTATAAATCAGCTATTAAAATTGTTAAATTAATGATTTCTTATTTTCCTTGGTGTTCTTTGTTATATACAAATATGTAATGATGATTGTTGGGTAATATGTCTGTTGATGTTATCCAATGTCAAGTCTCTGATCATGTGACAATATGTGCATGATAGTGTGCACTAGGGCCCATCATAACAGCATGCACTGGGGCCCGTCATAACTACCTTATGCCACTACTTTGGTGTCATTTCTTTTCCAGCTGGTGCTCAGTAACATAATGCTTGTCTTCCTGGTTCTTTCCTGCAGATTGATTGGATGTTGTCGAATTGGTTCAAAGTGGATCTGATGGATTAAGCGATGACTTGAATGAATGGCCTTAATGTTAAATGATTCAGGAAATGAAGAGAAATTCATTGATTTGTAGCACACTTTTTAACATGTTTTTTAATCTTTGGGTTTGGGGTAAGTTGTCAGGCATTTTCAAGGTAAAAGGCCCAAATCATTAGAGTTAAAGTCCAAGTTGTCACAAACTGGCTCAATGAATGTGACAAGTAGGGAGTCCACACAAAAGATTTAGTTAAAACATGCATAATTTATTCAACTAAGATTAACTTCAATAACCAACAGAGTGTGTAGGTCAGCAAAGTCAGTAATAAAAGCCATGCATGGGTGTGTCAGGTGTGTTGTGGAGGTGTTGAGGGTGCAAACCAAAAGCAATGATGCCAGGTGGATATCTGCTGCAGGAAGGGAGTGAGCAAGTGAAAATATAAGGCAACATTTATCGCCTGAAGGGCCCAGGTGAGCTCAATCGAGGCAACGACCCTTCCATCTCAGCCAGCTCCCTGATGTGGTGGCTAGAACATCCTCCAAGACAGTGGAAGGGGCGTCACAGGGTCAAGTCTTTTTTGATTTTGTTGAGTTAAAAGTCATCCTATTTGTGACTCCAGTCTGACTCAACTCCACGTCACTGGACTTAAGTCCACATCTCTGGTATGTAAAGCACATGTATTGTATAACAAGTATGAACAGTATCTTATTCAGACGTGATTGTGCCTCTGACTGTTTAACAATTCAGGCAATGGCTTCTTTACATCCCGATTACAGTGACAGCTGAACAATTAGGTCATTATGAGCTAAATACCAATTAGCGGGATGTGTCAGCTTTAATGAAAGTCTGCTAATCACTATTTTATTAGTGGGTTTTTGAGGCAATGCAAAGTGCAGTAACTTACACGTGATGTGAAAAAGAGAAAAGGCTCAAAAATAATAACACCATTTGCATACACGATAATAATTACATTAGGAAAGAAGATCAGTGGTCACAAAAAAACCTTTGCCTACACTCACTTACATGGAATTTACTCTGGTGTTTTGGGGCATATAAAATAAATATAATGTAACTTATAAAGAGGAAATAGAGGCAAAGTACTGCAAACATAAATATAGAATAGAAGATTTACAGTAAAACATGAAAAGGGTACTATAAAAATGCTATAATATAATAAATAGGTACAACAAATATAGTCAGAAAACAAAGGTTCATTGGGGTTCTATATAAAACATCAAAGTTTTAATAGAACCACAAGTTGCTTTGAATAAATATTTGTGTCTGATATGGTTTATGGTTAATAAGTCATGTTTCCGCATCACACTTGTATAAGTAGCACATTGTGATGCCTTGAAATCATGCAACTTAAACTGAGATTTAACAGCAACAAACTCAAACAAATAGCATTTATGTACATTGATAAACATACACAACAACACAAATAGGACCACACACACACACACACACACACACACACACACACACACACACACACATAAACACACTACTATTTTTCCTGCTGCCACAAATATCACTAATACAATGGTGTAAGTAAGCTAGGACAGGCCTTTGTCCACGCAATTGTGCATGTATTGTCTTGACATAAAAAGAAACTTGACATTGGACAGCATCAACATACATATTACCAGGCAGCCATCACTGCATATCTGACAAAAATATCAAAGAGAATTAATCATTTAATTGAATAGTTTTTGTAGTTTGTAGATTTTATAAAAATAGTAAAGAAAAAATAAGAAAGGAGGTGGGTTTGCCTTTTTAAGGACACATATGGCAAACAGCACCATTTTTAAATTAGGAACTTTTTTTCTTTTTGTTTTTATCATTCCTCTTTGAACACATTCAAGGTGGCAATCTGTCACTTGCAAGGGCCCGCTCTCTCTACAGGACCCTCCACCCCACGGGCCCAATGCAACTGCACTCCCTGCACATCTACAGTTAATCTCTTGCATTCTATATTTAGGGTCCGGGCAGCTAAGCTGCCAGGACACTGTTGTAATCCTAGGTATTCTTCTTCTTTCTTCTTTCTTCTTCCGAAGAAATCATACTTCCTATGGGTGAAAACTTTGCACAAAGGTCCAGTCTCATGCCAGATGTCCTCAGCTCAACTCAAGCCAATAGTCCTGATGGTGGCACTACAGCAAGCATCTAAAGTTCAAAACTTTGAAAATTCATAACAAATCAACCATATGTGCTACAACTTCACAACTTTCATCAAACTGTAGCCCCAATACTGAAGAAACTTTTGTACATTTAAACCTATTAAAAATTATGAAGTTCATCACTCTGTTTTTTTTTTAAAAAAGTGTAAAACTTCTTAAACCTATCTCCCCTCACAATTTTTGCTCAATTGACACCAAACTTGCTACAGAGTATCTTCAGACTGTCCTACACAAACTACATTTCTCAGATTTTTAATTTATCAAAAATTGAGCCTACAGTGCATCAAAATGTTTAACTGTAAACAGTACTGTAAACATATACATGCAAATTCTTGCTAAATAAATCTTCAATGGTCATGAAAAAAAATTCTAGAGTCATGGTAGATGATGGGTGGCAAATTTCAGCATTTTGAATTTTGCTCTAATGTGAACAATTGGAGTCAATGTAAAAATGGCAATTTTAAACATCAGTTTTTCACTTATGAAGCAAATCGATCATTGTTAAAATAAATTACCAACATCTCCATGCTGTCTAGATGCAATTTGTGTATTTTCAGATTTTTGTTTTGATAACTGAATTTTTTACAGTGGTTTGAAATCTGCTTTTCCATGCATGGACGGCTGCTAAACCTGCACATCTGGCTTAGTCAATTTGTGAAGCGACACATGAATTGTCACTGACTAATTAGCTCAGTGAGCTAGAAATTGATTCTTAGTATCAGAGGTTGTTAGTTCAAGCCTCAGCTGATGCAAAAGGCAGATTGTGTTGCTAAATGTCTTCCAAATCTTCTGCTTGTTGCTCAGAATTGTCTAAAAATGCCCGGACCCGACCCATCACTGCGCAGCAGCTATAATTATTTTTTAATACTTTATTTAAACAGGTATTCTTGTTGAGATCAGAACCTCTTTTTCAAGAGAGACCTGTGTACAAAAATAACATGAACAGTTCAAATACAGAGAAATGTTAACACTTAAGATATGCAATTACAAGTGTGATTGCAAACACATAAGTACAACCTTTTAAAATGTCCACATGGAATAAGAGAATGTAACTTAAACATCTTGGAGCTCATTCCATTTGTATGCAGCATAGTGTTTGAAGCCATGTTTTCCAAGTTTAGTGTGAACTAGAGGTACAGTGGATGTTAGGATGTCCTGAGACCTATTATTGCTAGATACTGAATTTAAATGCAACCAGAGAGCAGAAGTAACTGGGCAGTTTTTGCAGGAGAGCCTTATAAAAATAACAACATACAGTGCTGCTCCCTTCTGTGTGTTAAGGAGGAACATCCTACCATTTCATATAAGACACAACAGTTTGTGAGAAATGTATCACCCAGATGAAGCACAGCGCACTGTTAAACACTGAGTCGAGAGGCTTTAAGGTGCAGAGAGAAGGATGCATATGTACAATATCAGCATAATCAAGCATATACATAGTTGTAGATTGCACAGTGGTTATATGATGTTAATCTGTACCCCGTCCTATCTTCCTGTTTGCATGTACCCTGCCTCTCGCCCAATGTCAGCTGGGATAGGCTCCAGCTCCCTGCGACCCCAAGGATAAGTGGTTACTAAAAATGAATGCAACAATGGCAAAAAAAACTTTTCTCCTTCAACAGGTGAATGTGAAAACAGCTTTCTGGTGTCTCACATACATCACTCTGTACAGTGAAGGTCAAACACCAATAGGAGTAAGTGAAACACATGTATTTATAACAGAGGGGGGACTACAAATGGTCTCAAAAAGGAACACACATCAAGTTGGTGTTAACCTCAGATCCACAAGGTGGCACCATCACCCAAACAATTTCCCCAAGAATACACTGTGGACTACAACCTGCAAGAAACTGAACCTGCAGGAAGCCAGATGTGAAGTTGAGCTGGAGTAGTTGATCACACGTGGAACATCGTCATAGTGTAATGCTCCGTACTGGACACTGAGTGGCAGCCTCACCTTCTCTATTGAATTTCACGCTTAGGACACCTGTTTCTTTGCCTCAGGAGACCTTTTACTTGAAAAGGTTTGCTATTATACTACCTGTTGTGTCTGGTTTGGGTTCTTATACATACATCCACTGATTCACTAGGCCTATAGGGGGTTACTCAGTTTTCTTAACACTTTGTGTCGCCTGTGGCATTACTATATGTGCAGGTGCAAAAGCCTGTAGGTGGCCTATATGATAGTCTTAAAATGTACTAATAGCAGCTTGTAGTGTTCATGATCTATGACTCAGTGAAGGCAACTTTGAAGCCATTTGTCCTTCACTACTGACTGGCCAGTGTAAGATGCTGCCTGTAAAGGTGACTGAGTGTAACTTGTCATTGAGCATTTGGTGCCAGTGCTGACTCTGCTTGCATGCAAGGTGAAAAGATAAACTTATTGATCTGTCCAGAGCAGTAAAGCCAACCTATCACTGTGATTTACATGCACAGCCCCAAGAGTCTGCACCAGAAAGAAGAGTCTGGAGGTCAGCTGTTCAAACCTCACAACCTCCTTACATCCTGTCTGTGCCCTCCTGCTCCCCTTCTTGATCTCTCATTGTGTGTTCCTGATCTAGACAGACATCTCCTTCAGACAGGTGAGTGCTTTATATCCACCTACCTGTCTGATGCTGCTACATGAAGGTTTGCACCCAGCTCAGGTTGCATCTGCAAAATATCATTACATATCTCTTGTTTTAAGTTTGTTTAAATGCCTTATAATGAAACATGTTTGAATATGTCAGTGCACAATACAGTAGCAGCAGTGAGGCTGGGCTGCGTGTCAGTTTGCGTTGCAATTATCACATTATGATTGAAATTGGGAGTAGACTCGCGCTCATCCCGAGTTAATTAAAACGCCCCCCTGATTGGACGGGCAGATAATCCCGGCGGGCCTCCTGCTCCTACTAACTTGCGAGCAGGGCAGAGCGCGAGTCACAATCTGCCCAAGGCGAGGGAGGGCACGAAAGACGCGCGAGAGGAAACCGACCGTACGAGGGGGGACACGAGCGCTCCGATCTCAGCGAGCACAATTAGAGAAGTGTTGCTGAACGTGGGCTATGCGCGCAACAAGGGGGGAGCGCAGTGTACAGAGGAGGTGAACGCTCGTAGAGGCTCAGCTTCAGACTCACAGCCTCCTTCTTGAAGAGTCACTGCACTGACAGAGGAAAGGAGTGAAGGGAAGAGAGGGACTCCTAGAAAACAGCAACTCTTGGAGAGAACTACGTGAGTACTACAGCATACAGTTTCCAAAACAAAAAGTGTAGCGGTAGAGAAACAAGCGGAAGAGTAGACTTTTCCTGGTCACAATCTGCTCTGGAAGAGAAAATGAATGTCAGCGAAGAGAACCTGCTCAAGTCCATCAGCAACGACGCGCTCCTCGACCTGACGCAGCGCTACGGCCAGTCAGCCTTCGGGTTCGGACCCGCGCACGGCGCTGGGAGTCCCGGTCGGTTCCCTCTCACACCGGCCACCGACTTCCTCTCCGGGCAGACCGCGAAGTCCAACGAGAGCGGCGGGGAGCACACAAGCGACGACGAGGACGGCTTCGACTCGCTGGAGTCCCGGAAGAGAGGCTCGTCATTTGGGGACGACAAGCCCGGGGGGCCCCTCGCCAAAAAGTCCAAGGAGCAGCGGTCCCTGCGGCTCAGCATCAACGCCCGGGAGAGGAGGAGGATGCATGATCTGAACGACGCGCTGGACGGCCTGCGCGCTGTTATCCCCTACGCCCACAGCCCCTCGGTGAGAAAACTCTCCAAAATAGCCACTCTCCTCCTGGCCAAGAACTATATCCTCATGCAGGCTCAGGCTCTGGAGGAGATGAGGCGGCTGGTGGCGTATCTGAACCAAGGACAGACCATAACTTCACCAATCCCCACCGCCCTGGCGCCCTTTGGACAGGCTGCCGTCTACCCGTTCTCGGGCTCTGCACTCGCCACCTGTGCCGAAAAGTGCACCACTTATTCCGGGACACCGTCGAGTCTCTTCAAACACTGCAACGACAAGCCTTGATTTGGTTTCATTCTCTTTTCCTGAACTTTTACCTTTACTGCACCCATGTCCGTCTCTCTCTCCCACTCTAGTTATTTTTAAATCATTCTGTGGAAAAATAAAACAAGTTTAGTCTAATGCATAAAATATGGTTAAGTAATTATACTGCAATGTCTCATCCAGATTTAACAAACGCTACATAGAAAATAAACACTTTGGGCCTTCCTATAAGATGAAGTTGTCGCTCGTACTTTACACACACCACAGGCCATGTCCAAAATATGAGTTTGATTAAATTTTTAGGAGGATTAAGTTATCAGCTCTTATTTGTAATCTATGCAACATTTACCAACATGACAAGTAGAAATGCCAAGAAATGCGACCTAATTACACCTTTTAGATTTATTAACCCAGCAATCATGAAAGGACTTCCCTCGACTGACTGTACTGATGCTCTGTGGAGGAACACATGTGATGTTGGCTGATATATTTTCTGAAACGATGTGTTTGGGTTTTTTTTTAATTTTTATTTAAGTTATGGCACATTCTCACATGATTGTATTGTACAACTGTGGAAAATCACTTGCTCCAAGCCCGGCTATACTAATGGTTATATAACTACAGCCTATACATTGAAGAAGCGTTTTTTTGGTTGTGTTGCAACATGGATTTCATATATTGTTTATATGTCTTTATAATTAAAACACATATCTATGCTTGGACCCGGTTTGCTTCATTTCAACAGACATTTTTTGTCACACTAAGAGCACATTAAATGACACATAAAACGTGAAATGCCAGCCACGTTTGCATACGACATATTTAATTTGCTTTTTTTATATAATTATTTCAAACATTTATTTTTGCTAATTGTGTTTATTATGCTGTGGGCAATATGTGTGATAGTTTAAGACTGATAAAACTGATCCACTTTTAATGTAAAAAAAAAAACTAAATCATGAAAATTAACCGCAAATTGTAGTGGTTAAAAAAAATCTGACAAACAAACAGTCGCCTCTCACGCTGCTAACATGATTTCCACTTCTCACCCTCTGACTGGCCCTCCCTAAAAATGACTTGGCAACTTCTCTTTTCTTGCATGAGAGACCCTCTGACATGAGGAGCCGGGTCTAAACGAGCTCACATGGCCTGGTGGGGCCCGTTTGGCACGCAGTGGGGTCGGTGGCGCTGAGGGGAAGGGCGCACGAGCCGCCCGGGGCACCCACGACCTGTCTCTGGGTATTTGGGTGATTGCAGGCTTCCTTGGCGGGCTCTTATACTCCGGAAGCTATTAACACGATTTCAGCTGCTGTCTCCCCGCTCCACTTAATTCAGTGAACGTTGCAGGGTCAGTTTTGCTCTGCAGGTTGTGACTTGTGAGTGGATGAATTTAGGAAAGAATAATACAGTGGTATTTATATTCCTGAAAACATATCTGTGTGTGTGTTTTCTTTGTCTACTGACTGTCTCCTTTGACAGCAGTCACCTTCACCTGGATACTGACACTTTCTTGGTCCACATTTGCATGTTAGTCTTGGCTGATGTTGGTGCTATAATGTTTGGGTTAATCATTATATTTAAATTCAGGATTTTCTTGGTGTGAATAAAAACACCTGGCTTGATAACAGTAAGAGATGCTTACAGTGTTTTAGAGCAAATTAACACCAGCGAGGGGGAATTATTTTCCAGTATATACCATACAGAGCTGAATTAGATTATGCAGAAATTATATTGAGTTCTCAAACTAGTAAAAATGTTTTTCCCCATCACACCCAGTCCGCAAAGTTTTAAGATCATTTTTAATGTGCCAAACCAACAAAAATCATTACTTTTACCCCCTCTGGCACTCGTCTTTTATCAGCCTTTCTCCATTAATTTGGCTTTTCACAAACTACATGTGGTTTTGAAGACATCAGACCAGACATTTAGATCAGTCTATTTATGCAAGTCAGAGAGTGACTAAGTGATCCACCCTAGTCTCTCTTACAATTTAGCTGCATGTCACAACAACAGGCCACCCATGGCATCTTAAATTGGCCCTCTGATGACACATGTCTCGTCTGAGGCCCCACAACACAGTCAGGGCATCGGGGATGAAATGTGACAAATGCTGCCGATGATGTGGGGGCTCGGGCCACGCGCTCCATCAGTCCCTGCACAGCCTAATTGCCATAAATGAGATGGTTGCCTTTTTTTTTTTGCACGGATGGTTGAGTGGTCACTTTCCGTCCCCTATAGGCCTCTAATGTGGAGCTGCTGAAATATATGTTTTATTGTGTCACCTTATTATCTTAATGGCCGTCAGAGTGCATGGTGGCAGTGTGTCATTTGGTGTGTAGGCTAAATCTATACGTTAGGACAGATTTGTGATTTTGCTAGTCACATGGTTTAGTGTTTCCTGACCCTATAGCCCACCAGTAATGGATGGTGTGTGTATAAAATCACCAGTCATCTTCATCTTTCTCTTTAGAGAGATAAATATGTAGTTAAGAGATGTGTAAGCTACGTTTTCTTTCTGTATTTTGCTTTTTCCTAGATGAACGGCTGCTAAGTATTAAAACAATATCATTAAATAAGTGGCAAAGCCTGCCAAGTGCCCAGTGTATTTATGTTACTGTGTAATATGTGTTGAGTGTTCATTTGATTTGATAATAGAGTGAGATACTTTCTCAGTTTAATTCATTTTTAAAAAATGAATACACAATTTATGCCTCCTATCGCTTTTGCATTCTGGTACAACAGCAGATAAAATATAATGAAACTGGTCAGAAACTCAATTTAGTGTGTTTATACCAGGCAAATATACAACACAAAGACTAAAACAAACATGCAAGAGGATGATTTTTTAGCAATTCAATTAGAACTGTACAAACACATTCAAATTTTGGATGCAACAAAGCAAACAGATCAATGCTTCAGTATGCCCTGGGCATGCCCCTGCAGAAAGTCTGCCATGTGTGTCAAGATGTAAAAAACAAAAACACCAAGTGAGCCCGTCTGAAACACTTGAAAAGAATGCAATCATTCAAAAACGTTGGCAAAATGATGCTTTAAAAAAAAAAAGCAATATATTTTATAGAGAAAGCCAATCATGCACATTTAAAATATTCAATAAAATATCTAAGTGGCATCTTATCGATTTGTTGGATGAAGGCACATTTTGACCCCCACACCAACCATCAACCAGATGGAGCATTGCAAATAACCACAATTTCACCTGTAATTATAATGAAATGTTCATGCCACATTGTTGCCGCAATTTGTTATATGCGATGTTTTACAAAATACTAAACAACCCATGTAGTTCAAACTGTTTAACCCTCTATCTGGCATGTAAATACAAAATATAGATGCTTAATAAATGGCTTCCAACACACTATAATGTAGCCATGAGCAGATATAAAGACATTTGTGAGCACAATTCATATTGGTCAACAATTACAGCTTCCATTACAAGGACATTTAGATAACTATAACTGTGTTTTACTACATTGTTGTTTCTTTACACACCTGCCCACAGGAGGAGTTATAGATGTTGACACAAGCTTTTATTAAATGTTTATGTACTGCTTCTAAATGCTAAACAAGAGAGTTGGAGTGTTATAGA